GAGCAAATCACCTGAAGAGCACAATGTATTTACAAATTATGGCCACATCCCCAGACAGTCTGATTTAATTGATCTGGGAGTCATTCTTAGGAATCTGCATTTTGACAAGTATTATAAACCCAAATGCTGTCGTGTTGTGGGTTATGCAAGCATCATATAAAGAGAAACATTGCCTTAACACAGTGCCTCCATCTTGGGCATGATCAGGAAAACCAGGAAGTCATAGGACAGTAACCTTTGGAGTAGAAACTGTTATCATTAACGGGAATGATGCCAGAGTCATTCTGTTGATGTGAAGGGTGATGTTTTCTTAATCTTTGATCTTAGAATCTGTAAAGGAGATGGTATGGGAACCAAAATATCTGGCTTTAGAAATGGGTCCCACAATTTATTAAGTATCTCAAATATATGTTTATATTTGAAAAGCCTTGGTGGCCACCAATGCAACACTTTTTACCACTCACCACTAACCACTAACCAGGTGAATCCAAAGGTCACTATTGATTTGTATATTTGGTGATGCAAAACTCTCACCTGTGTCCCTCATGAGGAAGGTGCGTGGAGATGTCATTTAGCTAAAGATTGACTCTAGCAAACCATGCAACATAGTTATTCCCACACAGGCTATTTTGTGTGTAAAGACCTTCATGAAATGATAAAACACTGACTTTCTTTGTGAAAAATATTTACCAAAATAAGGGAGAAAATGTTGGAGATGTGGAAAAGTCACTGAAATGGCGAGGATATATAAGAGGACAGAAGGATGCACCAGGGGAGTGGAATGCAGGAGAAATGTGAGGGGGTACAGACACTTAAACTTTTACAAAGATTTCTGAAGTCTAGAGCAATTTTTATGTCTCAACCATTTTATTCAGCTTTGATATTTGAAAATGGACAGTTTGGGAAGAGAGATTTTCTTTCCATAGGACAAGGCTAGGTAAGCAGACTTGGAAGCCCTAAGATGTTACTATGAAAGCTAAGGTATTTGTCAATCTACGTGTTCTATCATGCCCAACAAGATTCATTTTAGAAGGATTTGGGGGTATAGCGCTATCTGAAATTGAATGAAATTATGCAGGATTATGTACTTCTCCAGATGTTCTTAGGGTACACAGTTCTTTTAAAGCACTGGTTCTCAAAGTGTGATCCGTGGACCAGCAGCATTGGCATCACCTGGGAACTTGTTAGAAATGCAAATTCTCAAATCCCAACCTAAAATGATTTAATCAGAAATTCTTGGAGAGGTCCCACCAATCTAAACTCTAACATCAATGTGTTGCTGATGTGTGTTGCATGTTCTCCTCAAACATCCTTATTCCATGTAGCTAAGAAGTTAAAAGTGATGCTGATCTAAGAAGCCATTTAGAATCCTAAAGAAGTAAAGCTAAAGACTGAATGCTAAAGAAAAAGACAACTAAACAAAATGGACTGGAGGGACCAAAAATAAAAGCTGAAAGAACCTACAGCAACGGTAACAGCTATTTGATTCTGGGCAGCACCCCCTGGGCAAAAGTGAGTCTTTTTTTTTTTTTAATTGGGGAATTGGGGGGATGGGAACAGTGCTGGGGAACTGGGGAAAGGGGAACAGACAAGTTGCTGTCATTTTGTTCTTCAATCTAGTTGTGGAGGACGTTGCTTCACTGGCCCAAGTTGGCACCATCATTGCGCTCTTCTCTGGTGAGGCAGATCAGTCGCCGGCTTCTGGACGGCCGCTCACTGCAGCTGCTGGCCGCTCACGCTGGCTGCTGGCCACACACGGTAGCCCATGGCAATCCACTGCCACAGGGACTGCAGCCCACGCCGTCGCCGGCGACTCATGGCAGCCCAGCTCCAGGTTGAGCTGTTGTTCAGCATCTTAGCTGTAGAGGGCAGTGTCACTGGCCCTCATATGTGGGATCCGAACCGGGGCCCTCTGGCATCCCAAGCGAGTTCTTAACCATCGTGCCACTCGGCCGGCCCAAAAGTGAGTCTTATGAGAGATACTGTAGCAGCAGCAGAAGCAATAGCATCGTAGCGGTGACCATTATCATCATCATCACCACCACCATCATCATCATCATCATTATCATCATCATCATCATCCTCTATTGGCTGAGAACATATGATCCCCAGAAACTGGGCTAGGGGCTTACATGTATCATCTAATTTAATCCTTACAATAAATTTAGAGGATTTAAACTTTTAAATTTTCCTCCATTTTATATACGACAAAACTAAGCCTTAGAGAAATTAAATGGTTTACCTCCAAATTGATTTAAGTAGCAAGAAGGAAAACCAAGATTCAAACCAGGCAGCATAAATGCAAAGCCCACCTTTGACCTGCTATTCTTTAGTGACATCTCATAGCATCTTTGAACAATGGGTGGCCGCGCCATTGGGCAAGGAAAAAGAATACAGTATTTCATGACTGGTTAAGTTAGATTTGCAGAAACCATGGAGGGCGAGAAAGGCAGAACTTAGGCAGCTGAAAAGATCTTTATATTCTAAAGAAAGCTACTGTGGGATTGGAGGAAAGAAGGATGCCAGCCATATCCAGAAGCAGAATCTTTGAAGTAGGGGAAACATGTAGAGTTGCAGTAACGAGTAGGAAGCAACTCGGTACTTCCTACTCAGAAAGGGATGGAAACCCTTGACATAATCACAAAGTTGAATGTCCTAAGGGAAAGTAGTTCAGCCATCTGGTGCTAAAGATCAAATGCCAACATCCATATAATTGTCCAAAAAAAAAAAAAATCCCCGTTCCTGGTTCAAGCTTAAGAAGACCATCCTTTCTTCATCTCCCTTACAAGTACAGGCTCTGCTGTTCATTTTCAATTTCAAAAACATATGGTTAAGATGAAAATTCAGTAATATCTTGAATCAAACAGATATAGGTTTGAAACCTTGTCCTCAGCCAACAGGGAATATTGAGCAAGCTCCTAATTGTCTCTGAACTTTAAGCTTTTGCATATTTATAACAATGTTATTAACACCTACTTAATAATAATATCAGAATTAAATGAGACAAAGAATAAATGGTACCTGGCACTTAGTAGGGTCCTCTCCATTCCTTAATATTAAGTTAAATTAAAAACTTAATGTTACACTAAATTTAAGTTAATTTCACTTTAGCTGACATGGCCTGGAGGTGTGCACCATATACTCTAACATAATTCTAGCTCTAACCCTCTCGGGATGGTCATGTGCGTAGCTAAAAAGTATACATGTGAATAAAAAAAACAGTGGAAGGACACTGAGCATTTGGCACTAAGAGCTCAGACTTAAATATGAATGTGGTTGTTCTTAAAGTCATAATAAAAAATTTCCATTCTAGTAAAAGATGCTTCACATTTGATTCCAGGTTGGCTTGGCTTCAAACTACTCCCTGAACTGTCTATATGATCTTGAGAAAGTAACTGAAATTTAATGAAATTCTATTTCCTCATCTAGAAACTAAGGTATATAATACTTAGATTGTCCAATTTTATTCAGTGTAGGGCAATGCACCATTTCTAGTGTGGTCTTCAGTGGCTTTCAATGACATTAAAGGCTGTAAAGGTACAGAGTGTTTTGTAGCAGTTTCATAATATAACTTGGAGCTAGTCATTAGATAAAATCTGTTCTAAAGGACCTTAAGTAAACTGGTTATCTCCCCTCCCTCTGCCATTGAATGAGGTAGAACTTTTGTTTTGAGAGGTGTGTGTGTGTGCACTTGTATTTTGAAGGAGCTGGTAAAATAAGTCATTTACATATTTACAATTCTGTAGCTATGTTTAAACATTTAAATGGGATGCCCCAGATCCAAGCCCTGGTGTCCCTTGTTATTAGAGCTCAAGTACTCTCTACTAAACTAAAAGGAAAGCATTTTATGCTTTGACTGTGATAGGAACTTTGAAAGTACGTAGACATGCCTCTTACAAGCAATAAAATAACGGTGTCAGCCATTGCAAATGGACCAACATGGAGATCACATGGCTAAACCATCCTTGTACCAGGCAGCCTCTGATGTATTTTACTCCAGTTTCAATCTATTAATCAGAAGAGTGGAAAGAGCAATAATTTAAACACTGAAATAATCAATTCCATAACGCATTAATAGAAGCTACAGTCAAATTTTGCCACACCAGTGACTGCAATGGAATCTTGACAGGAGCCGGAAGGCCAGGACTAATTTGCATTAAATTTACATAAAACTGTAAATCAAGAATACATGAACACAGCCCTGATATTTGTTAGTGCTTAGATCTTTCTTGTTAGATGGATTTAAACTGCTGGTGGTTTGACTTCGCTTGCAATACAATTGTGCAGCTGAACAGCTTTGTTCTCATTCTGCAATTATGGGAAAAGGGACCCAAGAGAGCTATAGTTTAGGGACATGTGTATGCATGCCATTTAGGGTTTTCATCCTGTAAAACCATGACTCAGATGTGCCCCTGGAAACCCTAAGCTAGAAGCAGATTGTCCCCAATGACTTTGCAGATCCTTGTTACTGGATTTGCTCACAAATTATTGCCATTAGCTGGAGACACAAAGTAAATACAAAGCTGGCCAGCTGAAAGGATGACAAGGCCTCTGGAAATTTTCATTTTTCCAAGCAAAATTTGCTATCATAAAAATAGATAATTAGTGATATTCTTTAGCCTGAAGACAGCTACAACTCAAACCTTCAGCAAAGTATCCAGTACTTAAGGAATGATCAAGTGGACTTCATATGGTCCCAAGCACTCTATATGTTCTTGTGTTCCTGTGTCAATTTATTCCGATAGTTGTGGCCTTTGCTGTGTGTTTTTACACTCAGGACTAGGAGAAAACACCCTTATCAAGGGGACTGGCTCACAGTGGTGAGATTCAGCCCTCTCTATTCTCCTTAGTCCTCTCATTTTAAGTCTGTCCTTTTAGAGAGAAGGCAGACATACGTCATAATGTATTAGGAATTGCTGTTCTTTATGCAGGTATTTCACACATCATGTTTATTCTCTGCCTCCCATCCCTCCTTTACCACCCACCTATCCCACCCTTACCTTGCACGATCAAGTAAACTTGGGAAGTCTTGGGCTCATGCTGTGTCTGAACCGAGCAGGTGTAGGAACCCTCATCGTAGACATCCACCTTCTGGATCCGGAGGCTGTATTCCAAAGAATGGCGCTTCTCCAGCTCAACCCGGGGGTCTAGAGACCACTTGTCATGCCCAGCAAAGATGATTCCAGAACGGTTCAACCAGGCCACCTTCGAGTTCTTGTCCTCTACAACACACCTGGCAGAGAAGAATGTCAACATGAGAGTCTTAGCCATATTGGCATTTCTATTCATTCTCCACACAATTTGATGCAACTCAAGACCAGTCAAGAAAAATAATTATATTCAGGATGAACCCCTGCCATGCTGTTTCTTAGAGTCTTAAGTATCACCACTATCTGTCCTTACTATCCAATGGGTGGATGTCATTCTATTAGATTCAATTCAGCAGTAAATAATCTGAGTATGAGTAATGCAGGCAAATACAGTTAAATAATATAATAACTAATCCCACTGGATTATTTTCTTGTCTAAGAAAAGGTCATTTACACAGAACTTCATCTGTTTAAGTAACTTTGAGAATTAGATGATTGATAATGTGGCACATTTACTCAGTTTTGAATTGTACTTAAATACTTCCTAAAGTCTTGTGTGATGGTATATTCAAATTATGCCCTGCCACTGTGGAATTAGACTAGATTTTAATATTTGCTTCTGATCTGTATGAGCTTGTAATGCTCGCTCTCAGGAGTGAGAAGTATGTGAGCAGGTCCAAGGGTAAGTGGTTAGGTGTTGTGTCAAGGCAATCAAAGCTGGCATCACCTTGCCTAAGTCTGGTTCCAGCTTTTGAGGGCAGCAGCTGTCTGCTGGCAAGAGACAGCCGGCTACCAGCATTTCTGGCCATGTTAGAATGAATTCAATCTTTTTTTTTTTAATTAAAGTTTGTTTAGTAAAGTTACATACATTTCAGGTGTACAATTCTGTAATACATCATCTATATATCACATTGTATGTTCACCACCCAGAGTCAGTTCTCCTCCCATCACCATATATTTGACCCCCTTTACCCTCATCTACCACTCCCCTCCCCGCTTACCCTCTGGTAACCACTGAACTATTGTCTGTGTCTATGAGTTTTTGTTTCTTCATTTGTTTGTCTTGTTTCTTTGATGTTTTCAGTTTTACATACCACAAATCAGTGAAATCATATGGTCTCAACTTTTTCTGTCTGACTTATTTCACTTAGCATAATAATCTCAAGATCCATCCAAGTTGTCACAAATGGCACTGTTTCATCTTTTCTTATGGCAGAATAGTATTCCACTGTGTATATATACTAGAATGAATTCAATCTTTTATGGGAGATAAATAAACCAATTTTGTAGTTCCGATCCCAAGGAAGGTGGAGGAAAAATATTTCTTTGAATGACTACTTATTATAGAAACCTAAAAGAGTCTCTTCCTGAAAGTTGAAAGGAAGGGGTAAAGAAGTCAGATTAGTAGAGAAGAGGTAAAATCTTTATGATGAATGTGGTTTTCTTCAATACCAGCAAGAATATGGAAATGAAAAGATCAAGTAAAAAAAACAAAACAAAAAAAACTTCTCTCTGTATCACTTTGGCAAGATTTATTTCTGCCCCACAGGGAGACTGTCCCAGACCCTGTTCACAGCTGCAGAGCCAGCTGCTCAGCACTCTGGGCCATGAGGGATGGACAGAAGGAGCCAGGAGAATGACAGCAAAACAATTAAAATGCCATGTTCCCCTGTATTTTCCAAACCAAGTCAATTGCAGGTTTCCTCTCAGGTCAAAACAGCCAGGCGTAGAGGCTCCACACCCAAGTACAGACAGGAAATTGATGTCTTATCCAGAGGCTGTCCACCAGAGGGAATACAGAGGCCAACTCTTACCTCTCCTAAGAAGAAGAAAAGCTGAGTCTTTTAAAAAGTCCTCGCCTATGGTACAGAAGCCCTCTTGTCCCATTAATATTGGATGAATTATATATTTTATTTAGCATGATTATTTGATTTAACTGTTTGGGGTGCCACGGTATGCAGGTCTTTCTTTTCTCCTCCACCTATTTATTTTCATAAACATAGATAAAGGTATCATTTAGTATCTCCAATTACTCAATATGTGTTTCTCTGTCATACAGATATGGTTAGGGTTATTTATATGCATTTGATCATTTAGAGCCTCTCCACGAGGGAGTGCAAAGCTAACACCATGGATGCTTGCTGCTTCTCTCCCCTTGATTTTACTTTCCCTGCTCTATTGTTGTGTGACACCATTTCTCTGTCCTTGGTGATGGTGTGGCACTTCTCAGTTTAGAATCATTTATGAATTAATAGGCTGTTCACTGCCTTCTAGATCATAAATGAAGTTGTTGATGTAGATTCACTCACTGTATTTTTTCTGTTCTACTGAGAAGCATGGAAATGTACCTCTATAAATGGATTTTAAGTCTTCTATCACATTTCTCCTCACACTGTTCTCGTCTACGCAGCTCAACACGGCAGCACGCAGATATGCCACATCAAAGATGCACTCTGAGTGCTGTTTAGCCCAGCATATGGCCCTACTATATTCATTTTGAAAAAAAAATACTAGGTATTTTACACAAAATGACCTACCAAATAAAGACAGAGACTTTGTTTTATTCATTAAGACACCTCCTGAAACTAATCTGGTAAAAAAACCCAGTAAATGCCTGTCATGTGAACTAACAGTGTCACCCATGTAGACACAAGACATATGATTACCTATATTACACTCCCCCACCCCACCCTCAGTCCTAAGCTCTATAGCAACCACACATTAATTGGCAAACTTCCTTATCAGCACAAAGTAGAGTTTGTAAGTCATGTCTTTAGGGTCCTTTCGATATTTTTGTAATTTTTGTCAATGGAAAAGTTAAAATTACCACACAGATCATTATTGCAAATTATTCTCTGAGAGGATTCAAATCTATTTTACCTAAAGAAGTAATGGACTATTTCATCAAAATTACCAGACCCATAAAAATCCATCTGCTGAAATAACACGTTATGTGGAAATTTTGCTATGACAATCTACATAACATCTTATTTTTACATTATGTATTTATTTATTTGTCTTTTACATACAAATAAGTGAAAGGTGTATTGAGAATTCAAACGCATACATATACATTCACACTTTTTACTCAGTATAGTCAGTAAACTACAAGCACAAGGGCACAATGTAGTATTTTTTAAAAGGAAACCACTCCTCCAGATACTTAAGGGTTCTTTTTTATGTAGTCAATAGTTCCAAAGTAAATGCACTGACTTTATACACTAGAAAATCATCTTTCTACAACGTGACTAAAACTTTCATGCTGAAAAATGAGCAAAATAATTATACAATTCCAGAATGAATTAATTTGAAAATCTTGACTTAAGGTGCCAACTATTTTAAACCATAAGAAGTGCACATAAGAAAAAATATATATGGTGAAAGTCCAAGTAATAGTCTCAGTGTGTAGAACTTCTGTTTGTTAAATGAAAATCACCATTCCCACAGGGTAGTCACCAAATGCCTAGCTATCTGGAAGTGAGGAAATGCTGATTAAATGCAGACCCAGGTTTCCAGCATGCACTGACGGGCCAGTAAGCATCATGAACGTGCATCTTGGAGGTAAGTTGGCTTAACCGTGCATTAGGCATGCCTGCAGAGTAAACAAGAATTCCCCTGCTATGCTATTATAATATAATAATGAGTCATTCCCCACTCAGAATGCTGCTCCCGAACCAGACAATCTAGTTCAAAACTGGATACCTAAGGACCTTATCTCCAAAATCAGCCTTGGCTAAATCAGAATAAGTGTGAAGATACATAGGTTAAAAATCCGTGGTATGTGTTGTTTGGATTTAATAGAATGTTTCCTCCAGGAGCTCAAAATGTTGCAAACCATTCCAGAATTTAAAAAGAACAGAGCCCTAAAGAGAATGGGTGTTGTTGCCAACAGGAGAGGGACAGAGAATGTCCTTCCCCTCTCGGTGGGATTTGTGTCAGGCAGCTGAGGACATGGGATATGATACAGAGTGGCACCTTGTCAGGACATCTCTCATTAGTATCCCATCCTTTTACTTAGCTCCTTCTTATGCCCTCATTACAATTCACCTTGCTTTAGAGTTATTTCCACTAATCTCTCCTTATAAGCTTATTTACGACAGTGACCCTCCTGGAGTTCACCTGTGGAGCCTTAATGGGAGCTAACAACATAAACCCACCCACCAGGCACACAACAGTTACTCACTGAAACATGGAATAAATAAGCTGCATTTAATTTAACGAATTGCTATAGGTCAATTACAAAATATTTGTTAATTATCCAATAGGTGCAGAATAGATGGATAACTAACTTTTCTTAAGAACTAATCAAAATGATCAGATGCAAAGGGGACATTTACAGAGAATTACTGTGTGTGGTATTAACATGAAAGCAAAGGAGAGAAAAAAATTTGCTCAGTGTTTCCACTCGGAAGAAAGATCATCCCTGGGAATTAAATAATCTATGTTGCCTGTGAAAAACAGCAAAACCCCCACAAAACACTAGATAATCATTTAGTGGGCTGCTCATTTTAGCCACGAACCCTAAAATATCAGGTGGGTTACTTACCTTAACTATGAACCTTTGATTTTTTAAAAATCAGTTTTTTAAAAAAATAACAGAAAAACAAGCAAACAAATTTCTATCTTCCCTGTTCAGTATATCTGAATCCATAAAACTGTCACAAAAAATCAATGCAGCCATAAAAATCTCCAGTATTCGATCTCTGCAAACATTTTACACCAAGTATATTATGCACACCTACACAAACAAGCACATTGACAATTCCTCTTACACTGCATAAGTCTGGGATTATGCTTCCAAAAAATAAATATAATTGGAGGTAGAAAAGAAATGCTAAATGCGGTTTGTACCAATAGGCTGCTTAATAGGATATTTACTGACAGTATAGCCACATTGTAAGTCATATACATCTACCAGATATTAAGCCTGTTCAATTGCTACTAGGTATATCTCTTCAGGTTTAAACAAGTGTTACTGACTGCTATGAATGTACCAACTTAGCATTAGAATTTATCCAAACTTAAACTTTCTTCTATTTCTGAAGAGTACTATTTGGTATTTGTTCATTGATAACAAATAATTACATTTTGTTTAGTCCCTCACCAATTATCTATCTTCATACTTTTTTTAATTATAAGGACTGAGGGAAGTGGAATTGGATGGGTAAGAGACATTTGACT